TTACTATATATATATATATATATATATATATATATATATACCGTACGAAATATTGGTGTGCATATCAAATCAAAAGAGCCTTTTTTCCATGGTTAAAATCATACCTTTCGGCGAATTATTGTATATTTGTACGGGTTTGGTTACGTAGTTATAAACATACCTTTTGGGGGATTGATGTGTATACCAGATCTGTAGAGGCTTTCTTCTGTACGCCAGTCTAGGTTTCTTCGGAAAGTCCTCACAGAGAAGAGGACGAGCAGAATCACCATGGTACATATCAACGCTTTTCTTCTCCTGGAACTCTCCTGGTACTTGTACAGTTGTTCTAATCCTAATCCAACGAGCAGACAGAAACCTACCGAGGGTATGTAGAGCACACGTTCGGCGATAACGAAGCCCACGTAGAAGAACAGGTTGGTGGCTGGAATGAATGGCAGTACCAGGAATGCCAGGGAGAGGATCACAGCGTCCAGACGGTACGAGCAGGTTACAGCACATTCGCAACAGTCGGAAGCGGAGTAGCAGATAGTTGGCTGACACACCGGTGGTGGTGCATTACAGGTTCCATTGGAAACACGGTGTCCGTTACAAGTTGACTGAATAAAGGCGTGATTGTTGTTGTTATTGTTCAATATAGGAGTAAACTTTTTGTGTCTCTGTGCTGGTCCACTGTGGTTCGAATAAAAGGAAAGTTTTGGACTCTGATTCAGAGTCTGACAAGTGCAAGTGTTAGTAGAGCCCACTAGACTAAAGGCACTTTCTGAAGGAGCTCCCCTCCTAGGCAAGTGTCTGTGTACAAAGAGAAATGTATAAATTAATCCCCCATAGAAACACAGGGTTACGAGATTTCTGGGGTCGAAGATGGAGCAGACCAAGGGCACAGCTTCCATAGACCAGTCGAAACTGAGCCACAGTGGGCATAGCAGCAACCAGAAGTTGAAGGCTGGGAGATAGAGGAAGGTTAAAGTTCGAGTCACGAAACTGTCACTGTCTGCAGCTGGGTTGTCTGCTGGGGCGAAATCCGGGGGCTTCCTGCCCATTAAATGAACTCTGAACCCCACCAGCACTATGGCTGCTCCCACCAGGTGTAGCAGCCCCTCGCGGAGACCCTGATATCGTTTCTGAAAGACATAAACATAATATATTAATTAGTAAGCGCAAGGAACTCCGGTATTTTACATAACACCCCCATTTCTGCGTCCTGAACATTCATCATGATTCTCCCCCTATAAATCACCCTCGGAACTATTTTTAACTTTATGTAAAATAACAATTTAAGTAATATATATTATCTACAGATTTCTTCAAAATACTAATTACTAAATTGTTTATGGGCCATATTTGATATACGTTTATTTTTAGGGTAACGTTAACAGGCATAATTTAGCTTTACTTTTTTGTCGTTGTTTTTTTAAGGGTAACTTTAACATGCCTAACTTCGTTTTACTTTACCCTGACTTGTTTTATAACGCTACACAGCGAAGGAGTACAATGTTCTAGTCTCAGAATGTGCAGCAGCCAATGATACTTTATATCATAGAAAACAGGAAATAAACGTTTTAGAAAACAGGAATGACGACTTTTGGGCGACAGTCCCACTTATCTTTCTTTTTCACGTAATAAATGTACTATATAAAATTATATTTAAATAAAAGCTTACTCACATGGCAAGAAGAGTGAGATATTAAGTGTTTATATTGTCCGTGATACATACTCTCAAAGTTTACTACTATATAAAATTATATTTAAATAAAAGCTTACTCACATGGCAAGAAGAGTGAGATATTAAGTGTTTATATTGTCCGTGATACATACTCTCAAAGTTTACTCTCAACATTGTTAAAGTGGAAATATGGAACTGGAGAAGGGGGGGTGTCTAACCCACTACGTCATTCCACTTAGAAAGTTAAAACAAAATAACTATCCAATAAAACATTAAATTATCTCTTGAGGGGGGAGGTTTCTCTTTCACTTTAACCAGTGGTCCTCAAGTCACATTTTTACGTCTCTTTACAGCATTATGCCCTACTCACCTCTACCAGAAGCGAGGGAATGTCCCTAGGTGTTAGACGGTGCTGGATCAAAACGTCATACACAGCACACACTCCAAGCACTGTAATGCCGTGTTCTTTGGTCAGCATGGCCCCTGTGGCTAGTCCAAGCGCCCCGTAAAGCGCCATCCAGCGGCGACCACAGTATTCGGGTTCTTTATCCCGCCACTTACAGTACTGGACATAGGCCTGCAGGGCCAACAGGAAGAAGAGGCAGGCGCCGACGTCCGCACGACCTACTACTCCTGCTACGGCTTCCGTGTGGATGGGATGGACGGCGAATAACAGGCCGGCCACCATAGTAGGCAGCGAGTGCTGTAGAAAGACTCCTGCCGCTAGGTGAGTAAAGAGACCGGAAACTAGGGCGTGCAAAAGAACGTTGACTAAATGATAGCCCCAGGGATCAAATCCCCCCAGCCAGAAGTTTATACGGAAAGAAAAGACACATAGTGGCCGGTAGGACTTGTGGGAACCGCTGTGAATGAGTGGGGTGCCCCAGAAGTCGTCCCTGAAGAGGTTAGATAAGGGGGTGCTGGGCAGTAGGTCCTGGTTTGTTTTGATGGCTCGGCTACGGAAAAAATAAAATAAGTCCATGAAACACACTTAAAGTTTAAACTTTCACCTTTACAGTAAAGACGAGCTACAAATCATTAATCTCACAAAAGAGCAAAAAAAGAAAACAAATTCCAAAAGAATTATATAAACCAATAAAAAACAAAGGAAATGAACTTTCCAATTCACAATATGATAACACAATACATTAAAATCAATGTAAAATATACGTGGCCCAAGTATAAACCAATAAAAAACAAAGGAAATGAACTTTCCAATTCACAATATGATAACACAATACATTAAAATCAATGTAAAATATACGTGGCCCAAGTATAAACTAATGCAACACATAGAAACTAAACAATAAACTATCAGCATGACAGCAGATATGTTTCAAAACATTAAAATCAATGTAAAATATACGTGGCCCAAGTATAAACTAATGAAACACATAGAAACTAAACAATAAATTATCAGCACGACAGCAGATATGTTTCAAAACATTAAACTCAATGTAAAATATAAGTAGCTCAAGTACAAACTAATGAAAATCACATTAAAATGTCAACAGTGATGTTACAAGAAATTAAAACGAAAGTGAACATAAACACCAGAGAAAACACATAAATTTATAACAAATTTTGAGGTTCGAATGCAATGAGATATTACTCCATACTTTTATTTTCTACATGTTGGTTCCTCGTCATCAAATTTAGACACCACCCTAATTCTAACAAAATATCACTGGATATTGTATTAATTGTGTAAAGCTATATCATAGAACGAATGGTTTACATTTATAATTTTTACTTAGCAACAAATATTTTTCTAGAGACAATTACAAAAAATATATCGGAATAATTATACAAATTATAGACATATTTTCTTCTTTTCGGAATATTCTAAAACACTAGAATAAATACTTAGAAGTAGGTTGACATGCTTTGAAAAAAAAATTTTTTTTAGAAAAATAAACATGAATTTCTAGGAGAGCTAAACAATGAAGATGCTCTATCGTATTTCAAGCATAATATTTATAAGTTCTCAGATAATGACAAAAAAAAGCACTGAATGTTTTCTTAGTTTTAGAGAATGCATTTGATAAACATCAAAGATTATTATATAAAACTGGAGTTTAGAAATAAGAGGTATTATATTAAAATGGTTTAATACTTACTTATTAAAAACAGAACACAGATGGTAAAAATTAAATTACGAGTTTGGTGCAGAGATAATAATAATAAAATATGTTGTTACATACGGTTCTGTACTTGAACCATATTAGTTTGGTGCAGAGATAATAATAATAAAATATGTTGTTACATACGGTTCTGTACTTGAACCATATTAGTTTGGTGCAGAGATAATAATAATAAAATATGTTATTACATACGGTTCTGTACTTGAACCATATTAGTTTGGTGCAGAGATAATAATAATAGAATATGGTGTTCCATACGGTTCTGTTCTTGAACCATATTAGTTTGGTGCAGAGATAATAATAATAAAATATGTTATTACATACGGTTCTGTACTTGAACCATATTAGTTTGGTGCAGAGATAATAATAATAGAATATGGTGTTCCATACGGTTCTGTTCTTGAACCATATTAGTTTGGTGCAGAG